TGCCAATGAGAAATAAGGAATAAAATTAACTTTTTTTTACTATATTTTTTAATGAAAGAGAAAAGGTTAGACGTGTTTCGCGGGTAATTGTCGATCTCCATGACCGCGCCCTTAAAAGAACACTGAAACATCGATTCACACGGGATGAATAAAACAAATGTCCCCAGGCAAGGAACTATAACCTCACGGGACTGACAGATTCCTTACAAACACGCAGATACGATCCCACAATGTTTCATTTATCCTGTGAGTGACTTGCATTATATCACCTCAAGAACAACTGCACACTAGTCTGTCTGCTTAATGAATAAATGTTAAATAGAAAACCTGAAGGAAATCATAACTTGTTTCATGAAACTTTTCATGATATTTTGTTTTATAAAGAAAATGCGATTGCATCAACTGTTATGTGTCGGACATTAACAGTTGATACAAACGCATTTACTTTATTTCGTTCAGGTTTTTCATTGGCTCGGTGATTTCTTTTGATCATTTCAACTCCAAACAGGTTAGTACACTAAGAAATAAGGGGTTTACTTAGTTTGAAAGTATCTAACGTTTTAATTGATTTATTTTATAGAAATTGCAGATTATCTAAAGCGGACATGGAAATCGTCTCATCCTTATTCCTATGGCATCCTACCGGATATTGACCTTCCAAGACACGGTTGCACGTTGGGGATCTGGGGTCAGCAATTCAGGACCGAACAGTGTGGAAAGGAGTTTCGATCAACCGTCGAAGGATGATCGTGATGAGATGATGAAAGCCAGGAAAATATTTCTAGATTGTAAGAATTGTTTTTGAGATAATAATTATTTACACTATTTACATTATTCTGACTATTGTTCTCATCTTTGTCGCAATATTTATTACAACGTTCCGGCCGCTGTACGCTCTTCAGGTGGTTGGAATATCGAACTGAAGCCTTTATTTCGTTCACTTGGGTAGATTGTTCTAGTTCCACGTCCCAACGAGAAAAGCAATAATGACAACAAAAATTGCAATATGAGCTCTGATAAAAAAATGTAAGATAACAGTAAAAATTGCAATATGAACACTGGTAAAAAATGGTGTCTGAAGAAATTAAGTTTATAATACCCAGAAATTCATACAGAAATGTCCTCAAGGACACATGGCACAGTGGATAAAGGCGTTAGTTAGATTCAGTGACAGGACCCAAAGTGTGTGAGTTCAATACCCGGTTAAGGCAGAATTAACAGGAGATAACTGATAACTGATATCCATGGAACTAGAACAGTCTACAGTGAGCGAATAAAGGGTTCAGTTCAACATCACAACAACCTGGAGAAGGCCGGAACGTACAACGGCCGAAACGTTGTAATATATATGGCGACAAAGATGAGGGCAATAATATCTGATTTACAAGTCTTACTAATAAAACTATATTTCTGCATAAGCGATTATAATTAACAATAATCAAGAATCTCAATAATCTGTACATCCAAGCTAAGAGGAAAAATCAGACGTGGCTGACCACATATGGAAAGAATGGGATCAGGTTGAAATCATAGACAAAGAACATCATTGGAAAATTCGTAAACTTAAGGAATCGGCACATATGCTAAGCCACAAAAGTCTACTGAGCCGACCAAGCATAGAAATGAATACAATATGGGAACCAGTAATAAGGATTGCCAGAGAAAATCAATAATAACAACGAGCTATTGTAAAAATAATGGAATATGAGCACTGGCAAAAAACGATTGCTGAAGACATTAGGTTTTATAATACCCAGAAATTCATACACAGATGTCCTCAAGGCGTTAGTTAGATGCAGTGACAGGACCTAATGAGTGTGAGTTCAATACCTGGTTAAGAACTTGGTGAGGGGAATTAACAGGAGGTAACTGATAACTGACATCCATTAGACATGGCACGTGGAACTAGAACAGTCTACCCCAGCGAGCGAAATAAAGGGTCCAGTTTGGCATTTGACGAAATGTGATAAATATGGCGACAAAGATGAGGTTGAATGTAAATAGCTACAATGTTGCGGATATTTATGAAGGGACAGGGTACATGAAATAGGATGAATTTGCTGAAACATTTTGATAATAACAGCGGCAAGACAAGAAATGGGAGCAGTTGTCAGAACGAGTGAAAACGGTAATGCCTCATCTCGAAATAAGTGCAGCGTTTATCGGCGCGGAAAGTGCACACTGATTCTCAATCCCGTTGTGTTCCACGATGCATTTGCACAATTTTCCTTAAGGAAGAAAATAATACATCTCCCCGCTCTGCTGGTAGGAGTTAAATAACACGGGGGGACGTTGTATATAACGACATGTATAGAGTAACAACACATGGCATAGTGGATAAAGGCGTTAGTTAGATCCAACAACAGGACCCAAAGAGGCAATATCTGGTTAAGGCAGTGGAGAACTTGGTGAAGGGAATTAACAGGAGGTAACTGATAACTGACATCTATTAGACATGGCACGTGGAACTAAAACAGTCTACCTCAGCGAGAGAAATAAAGGGTTCAGTTCGACATTAAATTAACTTAACAGGAAATATAATCTATTCATTTAACGAAGTGTGAGATATATTGCTACATAACTATTCTTTCTGTTTCTTAATGTACTTTGGTTAGCTTTTGGAAGGTTTCTTTCGCTATCTAAATGCGCCTTCGATGTTCAGTGTCGCACTTTCCGTGTCAGTGTCGGACTTACCGTCCCCTGTTAAAACTCTTCCCAGATAGTTGTACTTAGTTTCTTTCGCTTTCTCCAATTTGTAAATTGCATATTAGGCTGACCCTTTTGCTAACAACCATCTGTTTTTTTTTTTCAAATTGATCTTTAGTTCTTTCTTTTCGATTTCCGTCGTTATCTACGGTAGGAGGTATTGTAGTTTCATATCTGTGCCTGCTATCTACACTGTGTTATCTGCATATCTGTTATGTAGTGTACGAAAGGTTTTTCTTCCTCCGTATGAGTTCGAAACCCTCGTCGCCAAGTTGTTATGTAGTTGTTTCACAGTGGAGGCTTGTATTTGTACTAAGTCGGTCCTAAAATAGGTTCGACGTACAAAACTTTAGGAACTTGATATAAGAGGTAATGACGCAGTAATCTAGTTGTGGTGGCTGATACTTTAATATCCGACTAACGGCCGTCCGACATCGACTGACTGACCAACTCTCTGACGACTCAGCGACTGCTACTTATTAGAGGTGGGAGAGTCTATTAACAATAGAATAGGTGTGTTCCTGTATAACAATATTTTATGTTCTTAAAGTTGTGGTCGCCAGTAATGAATCCTGGTAGGAATTCTAATATTGACTCCTTTTTCGTTTTTCCTTCTCTTCATCTTTTATTCTTTCCTTCATTTACATTTTTCTATTTTCAGGTAATTTTAAAATTTTTCTTTGTTTAGTCATTATTTTCTCTTGCTCTTCTTCACTTACTTTATTTATTTTTGTTATATACCGTACCTATGAACACTAATGGGTACGCCAAAATCCTCACAAATACGTTGAACACTATTCCAAGTGGGGTAATATGCTGCCTAAGCTGTCAGCGAGGGAAGCATATTATTCGGATTATTGTCCTCATCTTTGTTATTGATAGAATCCTTTGAAAACATGAACTTCTCAACAATGGCGTTAATTGACTTTATGGAGTCCTTATCGATAATTTTCAGCACTTTTCGTAGAAATACGCGTGTTCTGATGGTATTAGGACTTTTAGCAGGCCTTTTCAGTTTGGGTACTTCTATAGAGTCCCCGTCAATGGCTTGCAGCATTGTTACATTATAAAGCACAGTTGGGGTTTATGCGTGGAGAAACACTAATATACATGAGCAGGTGTCTGCCACAGAGATCAACTTGCTATCCTAACACATACATATGTGTGAGTATATATGTATATGTGCGTGTGATCATATATATATATATATATATATATATATATATATATGATTCATGGAAGATTGAAGTTTATAAACAGTAAATTCGACCTTGTCTACCGTAAGGTACTTTGTGGCCGAGCGGTCAAGGCACGTCAGCGTATATGACGGTTCCGTATAGGGATGCAGATTCGAATCCTGTCAAAGAACGAATATTTTCTTTGAAAATTTCTCGGACATTCAGGCCGGTAAATGTTATTTAATACTGTTTATCATAAACAGAGCATTTGCTTCAATACTTGTATCTATAAAATAACAACGTTAAACATAAAAATGTCTTTAATAAATAAATTGTCGGACCTTGTCCATTTCTAACACACATATATATATACATATATATATATATATATATATATATATATATATATATATATATATATATATATATATATATGGACAGGGAGGAACCTGGACGAGACTCTGCCCTTCGGTGGGGCAGTGTAGACAAATACCTGATTCCACGTCTGCGGGGTCTACAGGCAATTTTTGCCCGAGCCTATGGGCTCGGATTTCCCCACATTAAATTTGCCTCAAGGAGAGGCAGGTAAATATCGTAATATGCTAAGTAGTCCACCACTAGCAGTGGTTTACCTACTTCACGCTGCTGGAGAGTATTGTATTTTGTTTATGCTATAAATATTACTATTTCATTTCCAACCTCCGTTTTCGTTATTTCTCATTCAGTAACCCTTCCTGGGTTTGCAACATATATATATATATATATATATATATATATATATATATATATATATATATCAAAGTATATAATTTGTATATACGGAATGAATTCCAATAACCAACAATTACTATTCTTAAAAGAGTGCTCAATACAAAGTAGAGCAGATATAATTATTTTTTATAAAAAAAATTATAACATAAGTATGTTATAAAATCACTAAAAAAAATAGCCATTTTCTTTCAACACACTCTGTGTCTTATCAAGTGATGATGTTGAAAAGAAAATAAAATAAATAATTTTTAGTCATCACTTTTATAACATACTTATGTTATAATTTTTTTTATAAAAATAATTATATATATATATATATATAAAAACACTCTCTCATACAGTTCAATGAAATTATCAGAGGAATACAGTTGCTCAATATATAAATCTATCTGTTTGAATGGAGGGATGGATCTTGGACTCCTCTATCTATCTATCTATCTATCTATCTATCTCAGTCGTAGTTATATACCGTACTTATGAACACTAATGGGTATGTCCCAATGCTCATAAATACGTTGGACATTATTGTAAGTGGGGGATAATATGCTGTCTAAGTAGTCCACGACTAGTAGTGCTTTACCTTACTCACGCCGCTAGCGAGTATTATGTTTTCTTGATGTTATAAAGATTACCATTTCATTTCCAACCTCCATTTTCGATATTCATCATTCAATAGCCCTTTCCTAGTTTAGAACAGTTTTTTCTGAAATATATTTTCTTTCATTTTTCTCTCGTTCTTCCATTTTTCGTTCGATTCGTTCTTTTATTTCATTCTCTTTCATTTACATTAATTCGTTATCAAACACATTATTCTTCCTTCTTTGTTCTCTCCCATTCTGACATATTTCACTTTCTTTATCCATTTCTCTCTTTCATTTACATTATTTCTTTACCAGACATGTATTTTCATTCTTTATTTTGTATTTCTTTCCTTTCGTTCTCTTATTTATCCTTCTATGTTTTTCTTCGTTACTTTCATTTATATTATATGATTATCAGACCTAGTTTCATTCTTCCTTTTTCTTTACAGTAATTATTCTTTATTCTTTCATATTTTTCTTAGTTATGTTTCGTTTTCTCATTTTTCATTTTATAAAATTGAAATTCTTCGCTTCACATTTTCATTCACATTTATCTACCTTCAAACCTCTTTTCAATGATCTTTATTTCTTCTTTGCATAATTTCTTTCTTTTTCTTTATTCATTTTTCTTCATTTTCTTATTTCTTTTCCAGATACGTTTTTCTGTTTATCGAAAATCCTCTTTTTTTTCACACCTTTCGGACTTCTGCATACCCATTATTTTCAGCCATTCGTTTATTCCCTCCCTTCTCGTCCAACCTTGGAAGCTTTAAAATAATGGATTCTCCATCATCATTAACTCTTTCTCTTATTCCCTTAAGAATACAACGAAGATCTTCCTGAAAAAAAAATAACAACTCTTTTTTTATTAATCTATGTTTCCTGTTTCAGTGTGTGTTTTCATTTTGTAGTGTATCTTTTCTCTTTTTTCGTTCTGGGGTAGTAGCCATTTTTTTTTTATCTTGGCGCATGCGTCTTTTCTCTTATGTTTATCAACTCACCTTCTTTTTTTTTTTAACTTCTATGCAACGACTGTATCCTCTCTTCATCGTGCAAGAGTGAAAAAAGTTGGCACACGTAATCACTCACACATTTACAATAAAAAAAATATAGATATGCAAAAATATCCATCGGAAATATACAATACAGAAGCAGATTTCCAAGGCAGCTAAATGACATATTTACAGTTACATCGAAATGCTCCGGTATATAATATACATCCTATTTTACGCCAGGAATATAATTAGGTTACCGGCGATTTACAAATACTCAAAGGGAATACATTCCTAAATTTATTTTATGCTGTAATATATTTCAAAATAGAAAAGCGCAACATTTTCACAACACCAAAGGATTATCATACATTATTCTAGCCAAATCTGTCCCAATGACAACTGAAAATAATTTATCTAAGATAAGATTAAAATTTGTTACAACTACTTCTACAACAATAAAACAATTCATTGATGCTGTCCTTCGTATGATGATAAACTACAACCGGCAGCAATCAGGAGATTGAAGTTTTTGAGGAGAGTGAAAGCTCCTCTCAACTGCTGTTACACCAAGGTTCACCCGGGTTGGTAACACCTGTTAGGGTCCCAGCTATGGGCAAGTAGTGAACCTCCAGGCAAAAATCAACCATACATTTTTTTTATAGTAAAATTACCAGCATTTTTACAGCAAAGCGACAATATTACACTACAAAAGGATTAAATATATTTTTGTAGTGAAATTATCAACAATATTTTTTTTAAATTGCCAACAATAGATTTTATGATTTACAAACTATATATCTAAAACATACATTTACCCTGATGGTATAAAATTATGTATAAAATATCTATAGTTAAAGGCATGAAATTACGTATAAAATATTTAGATTTCAGCATGGGATAACCCATAGAGGAGTTGATATACCGCTAAACAAAAACAATCAACAAAAGTTAATTGATACACGACAAAATAATAATACGCTAAAACTTGAAGGAAGAATGTATTCTATTACCTGTACTAATTGCACAAGGAATGCATTGGAGAAACCTCTAGAAATTTAAATTAAAAATTATATGACTACAAAAGGGATCTTTTACAAAACAGCACACTAAATGAATTAGTTGCTCACTGTAATGATTCAGACCATAATTTTGATTTAAAAAATGCTACTTTTATTAAATGAGAAAGCAATTTCCTGAGAAGAAAGGCTATATAATTTGATTTTATCGCTAGATCATCAACTATAAATTTGCGTCCAGATCTTACAACGTTTCACCTTTCGTGTCAGATCTTTTCCTGTCATATAAATTAGCTCAGCTAGACTATATATGCAAAACAGATATTAAAAAAAAAAATTAAATTTAAACATAACATCTCCATATATAACCATGACAACATAAATGTCACTTTATTCCGATGAAGTGCTGAAGGCGGAAACACGTCACACTTATTTCACTTTGACATAGAAAAATGTTTTCATATATATATATATATATATATATATATATATATATATATATATATATATATATATATAAAGTGAACATAAAGTCAACACTTAGAGGCGACAGTTTGTTTCATGCTAGATGCAATCGTCAGGCCACCATTGCATCTACCATGAAACAAACTGTCGCCTCTAAGTGTTGACTTCTATGATCACTTATATATTAACACACGCTCTATCTCTGATATTGAGCACTTTATTCCATAAATATAGCACATCTTAAGACCATATTTCTTCATATATATATATATATATATATATATATATATATATATATATATATATATATATATATATATGGTCTAGTCTATATATATATATATATATATATATATATATATATAACGTCTGGTCTCTCTCTCTCTCTATATATATAAGGTTTGGTCTATATATATATATATATATATATATATAAGGTCTGGTCCCTCCTCCCTCAATACTAAGTATGATTGAAAGAAATATTAAAATAAACCCTCTCTAAATTCAACAATGTATCTCCCACCACTTCTCCCTACCCTCACTGTTAAATTACATAAACTTGATACTACCCGTCAAAAAGTGTGAACTTTCATTTCATCTTTCATTTCATTGTTGGAAGTGTTATCTGATGACCCAGCGTCCCTTTAAAGGGCTCTGGCAGAAATAAATTATTATAATAGAACCTTAAAGTGATCTGTTTTTTTTTTTATATATATATATATATATATATATATATATATATATATATATATATATATATATATATATATATATATAGTAGGGTCCGTAGGGCACCGTCTGTGAATGAAAGAGCACCTGATAATGATTGAGATGGTCGAAAAATAATAATAGAGATACAAAATTTTTCACGGTTTATCCATAATCTGGGTGTACATCAGCTCGTTCGAAAAATAGAATAAACATTTAACCAAAACGATATTGTCAGTTGAATTTAAGAGATAGATAGATAGATAGATAGATAGATAGATAGATAGATAGATAGATAGATAGATATGATTTATTTGTTTCTTACTGTTTATTAACCTTTAGCAGGTTATTTGAAGCAAGAAAATATTTTTAGATTGTATGAATTTTGGGAGATAATAATGAGTTACTGATATATTTCTTGCTAATTAACCCATAGTTGGGGGGATAAGAGATGGATTCATACTTTTTCCAAGCGTATTTGCACGTGAGTATAACATGCACGTCTGGAATTGGTTGGATCTCGGATCCGCGATTTCCAATTCCGAGTTTTAGATAGATGTAGACTGTGGTGGTAAAGATACGTTTACGAATGCTGATTTTCGAGGCAGGGTCTCATTTTTTTTTTTTATTTTTTTTTTTGAATTAGCTCAACATCATCTCTCTTCTGTCTATATTTCGGAGATGAGTTATGGTAAGTAATTACATTATTTCCATCGTTCGGAATGTCTTCCTTATCTTTATTGACATATTCGCGACATCTCGGCCGTTGTATGCTCCGGCCTTCTTCAGGCGATATACGTTCGAATTTCGAACCAGAACCTTTATTCTCCTTCATTCCCTGTAAACTCCTGCTTTCTAGTGGTATTGTCGCTTTGCTTTTGAGTGAGGGGGATGATTTTCTTTAAACAGAAATATATGATTACTATTTTACGGGTTATGGCTGAAAACCCAGGTAACTTCGGGTAGGAATTTAAGCTGGTACCAGTGGACACCTTATATGCTTGCCTTCCCACTTATTCATTTGCACTCATGACAGTTGACCTTATACATAAATAATCATTTCCTATTGGGAAAATCATCAAACTCAATAATTCCGAATTTATTAATCGAATGTCCGCCTGACTACCTAAAAATTATCTAAGGATAAATAACGAAAATATTTGGTTGAGCAAGATCCTGTTCCATTTCCTCTCGCCTCCTGACTAAAGTCATTTCATTTTCTCTCCTTCCCTGTAACGTTTACGCCTTGATGTCATTATCGTCTGCTTGGTTTTAAAAAGAAATTATTTTTGGAAAAAAAAACAAAAAAAAACAATGCAACTTATATTATGACAAATACAATAATCTACTGTTCAAAGCTTGGCAGTATAAAATCTTTTCAGAACGAACGTCTACGTCGGTGGACAGACAGTTACGTACTGGACATTTGCGTTCTGGACAATTGCTTCCCTGGACATTTGCGTACCTGGATATATGCGTACCACTGATAATTTTTTGAAGTAACCGTACTTTCTTTTCTTAAGAGTTACTAATTACAAACAAATTTTATTTATTCTAAATAAGCAAAAAGGTAGTTATCATAAATTTTGAAAGAAAAAATATTAAAGTGTTGTTTAATATAGAAATTAACACGACAATACCATTAATTACTCAAAATAAAGCAGAAAGTTAGATGTCATAAGAGAGAAAATGTTCTTTTTTTTAAAGCAAGAGAAAATTAAGCTAGTAGTTCCAGTTCTCTCCAGCAGTGCGTACTACAAACATCGAATAGATTCTGGATTTTATAGATTATATTTTTATTTGGAACACATGACTAAGTTTCGAAAATCAAACACTAGTGGAAAATATTTGTGGACGTGGAAAATTACAGTTAACTCTATCATAAGAAAAATGCCGATGAAGCAAAAACATATTGGCGATGTGCAGAGCGATGTTGCAGCACTTAATCTGCCATTGCATTTTAAACAAAAATAATTTTTTATTTTATTTTATACCTTTTTTTTAAAAAAAAAAATATGATTATGCTTTTTGCAAAATTTAAAAGCTCTAAATTTTTTTATTAAGAGTAAAGCATTTGTCTAGGGACTCAAAGATCCAGGTATGCATTTCTTTAGGGTGCAATTGTCCGAGATACAAATATCCAGAACGCAATTGTTCTAGAACTGTCAATGTCGTATTGAAGCTATACCTTCATTATCCATATGAAATCTTCCTCTAATCCATCAACCGATCCTGAGGCCTACAGCGACATTTCTTTTCTCCAGTGACTGCTGGCTACAAAAGAATATCGTGCAATAAAAATTTTAAAATCGGGACCTGTTTTTTTTTTTTTTTAAAAAAAATGTCCATCTCACTATACACAGGAAGAGAATGTGAAAATTCACAGGCGAAAAAAATAGCCTTGACAGTAAAAACACGGCGATAAAAATGCGTCAGTATCAAGCTATCCATATGAAGTTTATCTATCTGGGTACGTTTTTATGTATCTGTGTGCTACACTGACATCCGAAGGTGCATTGTGATAGCGAGAGATGCCTTCTAAAAGCTAAGCAAATTTGTAAAGGAAACGTATCGTTAGAAACAAAAGCGAGCTTTGAAATGTTATACAATAACAGTCATCTTATATGGCAGGGAATGCTGAACAATCTCTTCAAAGATGAAGAAGAGACTTGAAGCAACAGATATGTGGATCTAAAAAAGATGCTGATAATAAAATGGACCGGATATCTGAGCAACGTCGATTTACCAGTGACAACAAAAAGGATACTTATGAACATCAGGAAGAGACTGTTGAAATTTGAGGAAAGACGGCTTGGAAAATTTGATACTTACAGGCCAGATTGAAGATAAGAACCCATAACCTACCTATCGGATTTGAGTGAATGGATGGTGGAACATGGTTTTGGAGAGATGGCAGCAAGGCAAAAGTTATTAAAAAGACGGGAGAGCCTAGATCGCCAACGTCCTGAAGGGACACGGCACATAGAAGAAGAGGAAAATAATTCTATTTCGGCTGATATAATTCTAACTCCTTATCTGTCTGTCTGTTTTTCTATCTATTTCATATCTTCTTTCAAAATGTCCTCATTATCTATCTAACAAGCTCACTCTCTCTCTCCCTCTCTCTCTCTCTCTTTCTCTCTCTTTCTCTCTCTCTCTCTCTATATATATATATATAGTTTTGTATTTGGCAGTAATGCCTTTTTAATATAGAGGGAGGTTAAAAAGTAATTTCTATTTTATGTATGAGTGGCCAGCTGAAAGTTACCCTGATCGACAAGCACAGATGAAGGAAGGTCGGAGGGCCCAACGGCCGAAGCTGAAGCGTTTGTAATAACAGCAACAATTATGAGGACAATAATCCGAGGGTAAATGATTTGAACAATGTAAATCATGAAGATACCTCATTCAAGAAATTCAGAGATGTTCATTAATTTTAGCTTAGTATGGCATAAGGTCAGAACTTTGGGTCACCCAGTTTAAATCAATCTTACTTCCGTCTCCCATTGATATGTAATAGTCACTACTTCCGGGCAAGCCAAATCTACTCCGCGATAAAACAATCTATCTTGAAAGAAAAATGTAAGCAAGACTTTGGAGCCTAAGAAATAAAGTCATTGTATTAAAAATGGAAGGATTTGGACATTTCTTGATGTCTGCAGGCTGACCAAGTTGCTTACTTATTTGCACACCGCGAATAAATATCTATCTATCTATCGATTTCCTGTCAAATTCCCCTATCATTTTCCGAGTGTGCCTACCCGGAAGCTAATATACGTATCCGTATGTTCTTATTGGAATGCATTTCAAGTCGTGTAAGAGCGGCTCCATAAGCATTTTATGTATGTGCGTCTGTTCTCTTTAATAACACAGGGATGCAGTCCATTGGAACATGTATTCCCACGCGCATTTATTATTGCCTGGGCAGTCGATAATCCAGTGTCAGTTTTAACGAAGATTGATCGCCAGGATTTGATTCAAATTCAAAGGCGTTCTTCTTTCTGGCAGCGGCGGCTGTTTGGCTCTTCTCTGAATGCAAACGCTTTCTCATTGAACATCCATCCATATACATATATATATATATTCATTTCGGGAAAATATATATATATATATATATATATATATATATATATATATATATATATATGCACAGATAGGCGTGTGCACAGATATACCTATATATATATATATATATATATATATATATATATATATGGAGAGAGAGAGAGAGAGAGAGAGGTGTGTGTGTGTGTGTGTGTGTGTGTGTGTGTGTGTGTGTGTGTGTGTGTGTGTGTTTAGGCAGCATATTTTCATTTAAGCGTGTTTGGTTAAATAATTTAGACGTATTATGCCTATGTTACTTTTAATCCTTTCAAAGTCACGAATTAATTTGTTGGTGGCTGTAGAAAATTGATTAACAAAAATTTCAAAATTTTCTTTCACATAATTGTTGTTTTCACAAGTACTTTCAACCTCATCTAAGACCATCTTCAGTGGTTGCATATCTTATATATCTTAAGCTTTCATACCGTACATTAAAAAATATTGTTTCACCTCTAAGAGGGGAAACATGTACATATATATATATATATATATATATATATATATATATATATATATATATATATATAGACAGACTGTTTCTTTATATCACAGCTCATCAGTTTCGGCTGACATCTGACCGCTTCAAGCCGTTACCAAAACCTGACCGATTTGGCATCAGTCGGAGATTCTAACCCTAGGCTATTGGCGCCCGATGTGTGTGTGTGTGTGTGTGTGTGTGTATGTGTGTGTGTGTGTGTGTGTGTCCATGTGTGTGTGTGTGTGTGTGTGTGTCCCGTGTGTGGTGTGTGTGTGTGTGTGTGTCACCTGTGTGTGTGTGTGTGTGTGTGTGTGTCATGTGTGTGTGTGTGTATGTGTGTGTTTGTTTGTGTGTGTGTGTGTGTGTGTGTGTATGTCTGTAGGTGATGTGTGCACAAACAGATATGTGTATGTTTGTTTCATGTGCATATATATGTATGTGCATATATATTTTACTATCTTTTACATGAATATATATATATATATATATATATATATACAAAATTTATATACGTATATATATATATATACACACACATATATGCACATATATATATATATATATATATATGTGTGTGTGTGTGTGTGTTTACATCGGTAATTCCGTAGTTTAATGAAGGAAAAAAAATTTTACTATACAAAAGTGAATGCTGAACAATCTCCGCAAAGATGAAGAAGAGACTTGAGGCAATAGAAATGGACTTCTCCAGGAGGATGCTGAGAATACCGTTGACTCAACATGTGACAAAGACACTTATACATAGAATTGAAGCTGAAGTTTTTAAAACACAATAAAGAAAGAAGATTTCCTGCCCCTTCTTTACCTTCCGTTCACTTCCCTTCTAACCCCTTTCTTCTTTCTCCTTCCTCTCTCTCTTTCTCTGTCTCTCTCTCTCTCTCTCGCTGTTTTCTGATCTCACCTTTATCCTCCCTCCTCTCTCTCTATGTGTTCCCACCTCTTTACCTTCATCACTCACTATCCTTCCTCATACTCTCTGTTCGCCATCACTCCTCCTCACCCTTCGCCCACCCCCTCGCATTGTGTGTGACCATATCTCATTTTCTCCCTCCCTCACCCTCTCTATGTTCTGTTCTGTGTCTAACGATGGAGAGACTATCTATTTATCTAATACTGAAATTCTAATATTGTATATACAGGATGCGATGGGCAAATTTTATATTTTTAATTTCGCGCTGTTTGTTCTTGATTTTGATGACTGCACAGTATTGTAGGGTCAGTTGGCCACCATCTGTGAAATAAAAAAAAGCACCATGACGAAAATCACTCAGTCAAAAATGTGGAAACGGCATGCTGTACTGGTTGGAATTTTACTGTTATACCAGGTTTCTTTTTTTAATATTACCCCTATTTTTAAAGATCTGAATAGCTATTATAACATGACTTCGTTATCAAGCTTTTTGAATTTTCCTATACTTATATTTTGATTGGTCATTCTAGCTTATGTAACAGCGTTTTCCCTTGCGAAGGATCGTTAATTTGAAACATTTAAAACCATTTATTCTACATTCAACATCATCACTTGATAAGACACCGGAGGTGTTGAAACAAAATGGCTATTTTTGTAGTGATTTTATAACATTTTTATGTTATAATTTTTTTAAATAAATAATTATATATATATATATATATATATATATATATATATATATATATATATGAAAGTGAGCATTGAAGTCAACACTTAGACGACAGTCTGTTTCATGCTAGACGCAATCGTCAAGCCACAAGTGCGCTGACGATTGCATCTAGCATGAAACAGACGGTCGTCTCTAAGTGTTGACTTCAATGTTCACTTTTATATTTACACACGCTCTATCTCTGATATTGAGTATTTTATCCCATATATATGTCACACCTTAAGACTATATATATATATATATATATATATATATATATATATATATATATAATATATATATAAACACGTGGGGACACAAAATAATAATTCTGAAGTAATTTTTTCAAAAAATTACAATTATATTAATAGAATGTATTTCTCCACCTATTTTTCATACATATATATATATATATATATATATATATATATATATATATATATATATATATATATATACAATGGTAAATTGTCACCATTTTATATTTTTAATATCGCGCATGCACGTTGTCTGTTTTTGATTTTGTCCTGTTTACATTATAATAGCGTCAATTCGGCACCGTCTGTGTCAAAAAGAACACCATGACGCTATTCCCTCCGCCAGCAATTCGGAAACTTTATACTGTACTGGTTGGTATTCGCGCCGGTAGATCCAATATGAATATTTCAGAGTATTTGGCTGTCAATCTGAGGACATTTCAGGAGATTCGTCAAGAGTTGGATGAGTCTAATGGTGATTACGAAGGTACAACAGCTCGGGAAACTCTCTCTGAGCGTTCTTATAAGAAAAGAACTCCCTAAATTATTGGTGAGGGCTTCAGGCTCAACACAGATGCCTACATCACGTGTAGAAAAAAAAAATATATATACAACAAATCAATACAACTGTGTGAACACTAATGGGTATGTTGCCAATCCTCACAAATACATTGGACTTTATTGTAAGTGGGGTAATATGCTCTCCAAACTGACAGGGTGAGCTGGCAGCGTGGGAAGCTCTTGCCGTGTCGAACTTCAGAGTGGAACCAGGACGAGGCTATGCCGAAGGGGAAAGTCTCGTCCGGGGAGTTAGACAGATACCCGATCCCGCGTATGCGGTATCTACCTGCAATTTTTGCCCGAGTTCACGGGCTCGGATTCCCCACATTAAATATGGCCTTGTGCCGCATCCTACCTCGTGTGAAGGCAGGTAAATATCCTAATATGCTAAGTAGTTCAACACGATCAGTGGTTTGTCTACTTCACGCCGCTGGCGAGTATTGTATTTTGCTGATGTTATAAAGATTACCATTTCATTTCCAACCTCCGTTTTGATTATTCCTCATTCGGTAACCTTTCCTAGGTTACAACAAACAGATTATTATGAAATTCCAAGTGTTCTAGTATTTAAATGAAATTCCAGATTTCTTTCATAAACATTTACCAGCCTTAATATTATTTACATTCGGCCTTATTTCGTCATCGCGGTTTTTTTCTAGCATCTGTAAATCTGGATAGTTTCCAGAAAATTTCGAACTGAGTTCATTATTTAATCTACTGCTTTTCATATCTAAGGTTCTCTAGGGATGCTTGCACTGTTCCCACTAAGTCAGGGTCTATATTAACCGGCCCAGATGTTAATCTAATAGACACAGTAGGAACAAATTCAAGAACTAAATCTTTAATCCATGTTTAAATCCTACTACTACTGCTGCTACTGATGCGGCATTCACCCTGGGCGGATTGAGCCGGCTTCTTCCTGTTATGAGAAGAAGATTCTTGGGATAAATTACAGAAGTAGGGTACCCAGGCCTACTCGGATAACGTTCTTGCTTGCCGCGGGATTCCCACAGACGCAGAGACAGGAACGACCAGAAGCCGCCGGTTACCGATGCAGACGCTCCTTGGATTTTCACCAGAGCCCTTGTTAGCCGGCGTGTGTGTCAGACCTGTCCGCCTTGGGTGGCCCCCTACCAGGAACGAAGTTCCGGGCGGCATAACTCTGACACTACCTTTACACCCCCCACCGACTGTGAGGTAAGGGTTGGACTTTGGGGGCTTACAGTACCAGGTGTTCCCAAGCGGTCCCCCATCTAAGTAGTGACCTGGCTCTACGCTGCTTAACTTCGGTGATCGTACGAGAACCGGTGTTTCAGCGAAATTAACCGTAGTTCAATTTAACTCAGTTACTGTATACATTCTTTCTATCCTTTCCAGAAACCTTTTTTGTCTGAACTAAAACAAGCCTATGGAAAGTCAGAAACGATAAGTGGACTTTCAGTGCCGGAATTTGAACAAAAGCTGGATACTTGGTTGTTTTTTTTATCATTAAGCGCTTCGGTAAATGTGTTTGCATAATTTATCAAGAAACGGTTGCCGTAAAGATTCTCCAGATCAAGGCAGCCTTCTGGATTGAGCGGTCTAAAGTAGAGACAATTATAGTACGTTTAATATAATGACCCTCCCTTAAGTTACTAATACTACTATTACTACTGTATCAACAAAAATATCCCAGTAGTCAAATGAAACCCTAAACGCATCAAACAATTTTTCCAGTATTTTCCTAAATATTAATATGTATGAATTATACGAATCTAACGCCATGTTCTCGCTAGACATTCGTCAGAAATTACTGTAAAAAATATTTAATCGAAAAAGACAAGCTAAAGATATATGAGGAATAAAATGATTAATTCTGTTTGTTCGACAATAATTTAAGTTATAGCGTGAAAATAAATATTTATCAAGCGTTTTCATTTTACAAATGCCGAGGTTTATTTTGCCGTTCTGTAGATAAAGATTGTGAGTATGAATATTTCTAGAAGTTTTCTCAAACAGCAGAATATACTACATTTCGCCTTTGTTTTTCTCGATCGACTGGGCAGACTGCTGGATCCGGGAGGATGCTTCAGGAAGAAAATTGAAAAGGTAATCAAAAAGATTCAGGGAAACAGAAAATGGAAAGAAGACTTTGAAGAAAAAAAAAAAAGGTAAGTGAAAGGAAAACGTGATGAAACCGAAGGAAGAATTGGGTAAGATGGATGGAGCATTAAAGCGGGTGAGATAAATTCTTTTTCACAGCAGAAGTGACAGGTGATATCGACTGAAGCGGTAAATAACAAAGATAATGAAACATTTAAGGGGGAAAGAGATTAAAACATGGATGCATAAAAGAAGTTAGTACATCAAGCAACTTGTCATGTCTGTAAGTACATAGAGTCAGCGACGAAATTACTCGTACACCCATTAATTTTGAATGTTTATATCCATTTCTCAGAATCTAATGCCTGTATGATACCAGTTTTTTTTTTATATGTTAAAAAGCACAAAAATTAATTTAAAACTCAATTTTCAAGACAATAGGTTAAATAAAAAAAAATTGGCAGGCGAATTATACAAAATAGGAAAAGATAAAATTATTACTGTACGAATAATTTTGTGTTTTCCTACTATGCATAATTCGCCTGTCAAATTTGTTTTATTTAACCTATTGTTCTGAAAATTGAGTTTTATATTCCTTTTTGTGTTCATTAACATGTTGCTGGTCTGTGTGTATGCGCTGTGAGATAAACGTGTGTCTCCTGAAATGACCCACAACAAGCATGGTGAACTCGGAGATTGAAATAAAATCAACAAGAACCAATATATATATATATATATATATATATATATATATATATATATATATATATATATATATATACAAACAAATAATAATGTATTAACAGACAAAAAGGTTACAAATAAATGATGAAGACATTAATGTGTGTGTAAAGTTTGTGTTCTAAAGTATGTGTGAATAAATGTGCATACGTACGTGCGTGTGTGTATATATATTGTTCATGGCGTTTCCCCAAAAGGGAAAAGCGCAAATCTCCACAACAGGTTTACATCGTGTCGTCAATACTGAAGAATAAGGAGACAGAGAGCAAGAAAAAACTATCGTTAAGTATATATAGAAATGGAGAGCGTCCCCTAGTAACAGCTTAGAAAATCAGGAAATTATGAGGAGTTAACTCCGACAAACTTATAAAAAACCTGGCATCATATGGGCATTAGATTCTGAAAAATGGATAAAAATATTCAAAATTGATGGGTTTGCGAATAATTCCGAGGTTGACAGGGTGCAGTGGGCAAAATGTCTCCATTTTATATTTTTAATTTCGCGCATGCAAGTTGTTTGCTCTTGATTTTGTAAACTGCAGAGTATGTTATGCTGCTTAAAATTCGCGCCGGAAATTCCAATACGAACATTTCAGTGTGCTTGATGGTCAATCTGGGGACAGTGCAGAGGATTCGGAAAGAGTTGGGTGAGTCTAATGGTGATTACGAAGGTACGGCAGCTCTGAAAACCCACTCTGATCGTTCTGATGAGAAAAGAACTCTCGAATTTGTTGGTGAAGGCCTCAACACAGATGCCTACATCAAATGCCAGAGGGTGCCCGTTTGCAGACTCTCTGTCTGACAACAGGAATCTGCACCATGCCACACAAGCAAGAGAACGCAGACAGGGCTGTCAGAGAAATTC